CCCCCTCAACTCAGGCATTTTGAAGCACTTCGCTGAGACCCCGCCCCACTTTTCACCAGGATGAGTCCCCTATCCCTTCTCCAGTATAATTGTTCCACTGACTGGGAAACTACTTGAGCTTGATAGCATAATGTTTTTGTTTTCTTCTGAATGTGGACGGACCTTTTCTTTCTCATGTGAAAAAGTTAAAACATGTCAAACCTATTTTAGAAGTAAGTCAGAATCTCCGGAACCACCCGATTAGTCCCATCCATTATACCAAAGAGTCATCAAGAAACCTTAGCTCTTCGGTGGATTCTTGAAGGCGCCTTGTGGAGACGACGTTTGACAAAAAAAAATAAAAAACTTTAAAAAACTTTAAAAAAGTAACAAAAGAAACTAAAAGCGCGGCCTTCTGCACTTTTGCGTCTACCAAGTTAGTTTCGTCATCTTGACTTATTAGCTGATGAATGGAATTGTTGTTTGAGTTTTTTGAACTTGAAAAAACTTAACGTAAACTAGTTTTCCTCTTTTTGATTTGTCTGGTTAGAAAGAGGGATCATCATAAGATTCATAACCCCTTAAGATTATCGTCTGCAGCAGGATTGGAATCTGGAACCTATGATCTGATTATCAAGAGGTCTATGCATGTGTAGCATGCGGCAACCAACCAGCCAGGCACGATGCAACTTCTTCCTCTTCTTCTTCTTCTTCTTCATTTTTAAAATATTTTTTTTGGTAATAATTTTTAAGCTTGTTGAGACGTAAGAGTTGAGCATTTGTTTTGTTGTCTGATTCAATGGTTGGCCTCTTGAGACATAATGGATGACCAGTTGTTTTGTTGCCTGACTCAATGGTTGGTCTCTTGCCAGATCCCACTGCGAAGACGGCATTGTGCCAAAGGAGGCATGCATAGTGAACTGGATGAGGATGCCAGACGCGTCAATGGTCTGGAAAATAAGCGGAGGGATGGCTGTGCTGCCCTGCATCAGGAGGTTCTTGGAAGGGGGTCTGTGATGGTGTCGTCGACAGCTGTTGACGAGACCATCTGCTTGGTCAAATCGAGGCAGCCGGCGGAGATGTCCCGATCACTGATGGATGGGAAGAGGAAGCGCAGCTTGAGTGTAGCAACAGGTGTTGTTACTGGAGATAAGTCGGGGAATTATCCGGCGGATGAGATGGTGCATGCATGTGCTTCGTCCATTTTGCAGCAGCATCTGACATCTGGCAAGCGGTCCAGGTGCGTAGCTACGGAAATGGCCAAATTTGCCAATGATGAGGACTGCAATACAAGTCTTTTGGATGGGCGAGGACGAAGGCGAAGCACAGCACTGCCATCAGCGCCATGGCCCTGTGTTGGGCAATTACTTGAGGATTGTGGGCGCTTTGACCGGATTTCTGCCCCGATTGGAGAAGAGAGAGTGCCAAACCTAACTGTTGATCATCTGCTGAAGTCGGTGCTTAATCACGCTCGGATCCTATCAGAGACGTGCGAGAATGCAGTCACAACTAAGCAGGCTATCATACACAACCCCAGAGGGAATGGAGATGATGCTCGCTTGGCGGCAGCGAATGCAGTCGTCGAGCTAGATGGAGTAAGGGAAAATGCAGTCTGCAGTGAAGAGGGCATCATTGCCAGGTGCAGGAGCGGCAATACGACATGTGAAAGGACTGCCACACGTGCTAGTGCCGAAGATAGCGATGCGACCACGTATGCATCAGATACTGACCCAACCACACGTGTAGATGACAGTGCAACTACACGCGCAGACAGTGATTCAACGACATGTGCTGATAGTCATGTCGCCACCCTTGGTAATCACGATGCGGCCCTGCCGGCAGGCAGTGAGGAGGCGACATGCGCCGAAAGGCATGTTTCCCCGTGCAATAATAATGACGCCGTGCTCGTTGCAATTAGCAGTGTGACCAAGCATACCGCCAGAGATGAGGTCGGAAGAGGATCTGATTCCATCCGCAGAGGATGTGCTGCATGTGTGGATAACAATGGAACATGTGGCCATACGAATGATGTGGTCCCCCACCGCAGTGCAGCGTGCACGACTAGTCAAACAAGGTCGTCGGGAGCTCAAAAAACGAAAGAACATTTCGGAAGTGAACATAGTCCTGCACTTGTGAGAGATGGTAGAAGTGATGTGGCATGCCTCCCGTCTGGAATCGAGTTTGGTAATCAGACCCAAGATTGCCGGCAATCTGGAAAGGATGCCGAAGTTAGAGCATGTTCGCCCCCGTCATCTCTGAGTCACTGGACTCTGCAACAAGAGAGAGAAATATATAATACAGGTGCTAAACTACATAGTAGAGGAGCGAAACAACCTGCGCATGAGGATGTTCGTTGGTTTCCTGCGCGGAATGATGGTTCACTCTACAGGACAGCTCCTGATGATTGCTGCCACTCTGAGAGACATGCAGGGGCTCGAGCAGTCCCATCTACTTCATCTCTGACTCATCGGACTCTGCAGCAACAGAGAGTAATACATGGTGCAGGTCCTAAACAACCTGAGCATGAGGATGCTCATTGTACTCCCATGAGGAATGACACTTCACACCATAGGAGAGCCATTGATGATTGCTGGCAAGCTGGGAAGCATGCTTCATCTATGACCGACCAGACTCTACAGCAAGAGAGAGTTGCCCGCAGCACAGGTGCTGAACAAGCTGAGACTGCTCATTCTACTCCTGTGAGCACAGGTCCTTGCCATAGGGCAGCTGTTGATAACCACAAGTTCCAGGCGGATCCCACGCCGCCCAAGGCTAGGATGTCTGCCATAGCAGATGGCGCGTACAAGAACAAGAAGGCTGAGAAGGCCCCTCGGTGGATCCGAGTAGACCATAAACGGCACAAGGTTCTTAGACAGCAGCGCATTTATCGCTGGCTGTGTTAAAGGCAAGTCCCTGAGAGATCTACGGTCACATGAAATTATTCATATTTTAAACGAGCTCCTGGCTCCATTCTTTGTTGGAGTTTTTATCCACCTGTGCAAGATCGAAACAAACTGAGATCCTACATTTTTACGATTTTTCTGTTTTCAAAAAGGGGCTCAACAACATTGTTGGGCAGCCCACGAGAGAGAGAGAGAGAGAGAGAGAGAGAGAGAGAGAGAGAGAGAGAGAGAGAGAGAGAGAGAGAG